CATGAAAAATAAAAAATGGTTTCACTTTCAAACAGATGTAATTTACCTTAAATAATTGTATCTCAATCTCTAAATTGAACTTTAATCACATACAGGAGGCTCTTGCAGGGTCTAGCAAGCTATTAACATAGCAGGGGATAAGAAAATCTTAATTAAACAGAACTTGCAATAAAGAAAGCTAAAATAGGGCTCTCTTTACAGGAAGTGTTTATGGAAGGCTGTGCAAGTCACATGCAGGGAGGTGTGACTAGGGTTCATAAACAAAGGGATTTAACGCCTAAATGGCAGAGGATTGAGTAGTGAGCCTGCAGGGGCATGTTCTATACACCAAAACTGCTTCATTAAGCTAACGTTGTTCAAGGGACTATAGCGTGAGAGAAATACATTATGGATGGAAGTAGATTTAGTTATGTTGAACACAGAGCGTGCAATCCAGAGGGCAGAATGAAAGGAGGGCTTAAAGGGAGAGTTACATGGGATTGATATAAGATTGTATTGTATTGCCAAAGTATGAGGACATGCCCTGCTGTCTCACAGATCAATTCTCTGCTTATACAGCCATAGCCACGCCTCCCCTGACGTTGACATCCACAGTTTCCATACACCCTTACTGTAAAGAGAGATCTAATTTTTAAACTTCCTTTATTGCACAGTCTATTTAGTTTGGAATTTCTTATTCTGCTCTGTTAACTGCCTAGAGGAGCCTCCTGGGTTTGATTAAGTTTAATTAACATGAGATATGAACTTTTAAAGTAAACACACGGTGCTGTCAGATCTGATTTGAAAATAAAACCATTTTTCATGCAGGCTGTGTGCCTCACAGCTAGGGTAAGTATGGCTAGGACTGCATTAACGGAAGCAAAAGTGCTTTAACTCCTAAATGGCAGATAATTGAGCAGTGCGACTGCATGATCTATACACCCAAACTGCTTCATTAAGATGAAGTTGTTTTGGTGTTTAGAGTGTCTGTTTAAGTAAAGTCTGAAGCTCAAAATGATCAGTTTAGATAACAGCTGAAACTAATATTCCAGACTATTCTTTAACATTAGCAAGGTAAGATCAAAGGCTAATTTTATTGTTTTCTCCTTTACAGTTTCCCTCATCTGCACAAGGTCTACCCTTCCCTCACATCCCCCATCTACTTTCACATTGCGCACTTACTACCATTGATATAACCATGCCTATGTTAGCCTATCCCCACATATCCCCCTCCCCCAAATACCCATGGTGCCTTCTTCCTACCCTTTTCACCTCATGCCCTTCTTTCCCCTCCTTACATATTGATTAATTTCACACTCTATTGTTTTCGTTCTACCCTCTTTCCCTTGTCACCTGTTTCTCCCTTGTCACCTTTTGATCCCATGTTGCCTTCTGTACACCCGTTTCAGTTCATACCCTTGTTACCCTATGCCAACATCCTGCATAATTTCTTTACAGACCAGCCACATTCTAAACATACTTGTATATTATTATTATTATTATTATTGTGATTTATATAGTGCCAACAGATTCTGTAGCGCTTTACAATATTATTAGAGGGGGGGATTTGACTATAAATAGGACAATTACAAGAAAACTTACAGAAACTGAGGGATTAAGAGGGCCCTGCTCAAACGAGCTTACAGTCTATATCATGTATTGCTTTTAATGTCTGGTTTCATATTGTTTCTAACAAGTTTAAATGCCAATCTCCACTATTGTCATAGAATGTTTCCGTGTTAATATATTTATAGAAATAAGCAGCTGTGTATTTATGGGGTTAATCACAAAAATACCATTTTGTATTTCAGACAGTATTTGTCAGCAGTAATTTCCTGTATAAGAATGTCCAATGCTTTCTTAATACCGCTATTCATCTCTGATGAAATATTTACAATTACATTTGGCTCTGTAACTAATCTTAAAGCTAATTATCTTTGTTCTTTTTCCCCAAATTAGAAAGAATGTGCAGGAGTTGTTATTAAACCCAACTTAATCAGGATGTTGACATTTCTCAACGTATAAATGCATTCATATCTCTAACCAAGAAAGGGTTCATTTCGTTTGTCTTATATCCATTACTGACAGACTACAATAACCAATCAAATGGTCTTAAAATCAGTTCAGTGGTAGTGGATTGTCAATACTTACAGTGTAACTCCGAATACCACAACAACTTCAGTTATATAGCCCTTAGCTGCCGAAAGTGTAACTTCACCTCTGGCAACGTAATTAGAACATCATTAGCCAGCCTGTAAGGGTTACTGTTTTTTATTTATTTACATTTTTTATTTATTAGAGGAATCTTAATTAAGAATAGTTTAGAATACTTATCTGGATAGAGTGTATATTAGACATGTGCACCAGTGACATTTTTGTTTTGTACAAATGATTTCATACTAAATAAAAATGTAATTGGTCAATCCTGAATTTCGGCCGCAAACCATTTGAATTAGAACGAAATTCGTTAAAAAATAATTTGTTTTTCGAAAACAGCACTGCATATGCAAAAAAAAAAACAAAACCGAGGAGGGAGCCAGCAGCGCTACCAGCTCCCTCCTTGTAATAAATAACCATTTCTACCCCCCCACCCCCTGCACTAAAACCTATGGGGGTCACTATGACCCATTATAAAAGGGAGGATAAAACCTCCCGCATGCTCCTACTCTCAGCATGCCCCGAGTAGGGGCATGTCGCCTAAACAACGAGCAGCCACTGGCTGCTCGCTGTCATTTCAAACAACAAAAAAATCAATATTGGGGTCACTAGTGCAATAAGGGGGGACCTGGCACAGGTTAAATCCTCCCGCCCCTATCTGTGCCAGGTCCCCTCGTGTAGTAGAGGCATGTCGCCTAAACAGCGAGCAGCCAGTGGCTCCTCGTTGTCATTTAAAACTGGATATAAAAATCATTATAGAGATCTACAATAAGTGATAGAGAGCTACAATAAGAGTAAGTGTGACCAAAAGGTATAGCAAAAACTATAACAATGTTGCAATATGAAAAAGTAGCTATTTAGATCTAAATAGCTACTTTTCACTCTTACCGTAGCTCTAACACTTCTATATAGGATACATTTATATTCAGTGGCTGCTCGTTGTCATTTAAAACTAAATATGGGGGTCACTATGAGTCCCATATTGATAAAAGGGAGGTTAAATCCTCCCGCATGCCCCTATGTCGCCTGAACAGCAAGCAGCCACTGTCATTTAAAACTACTAGTGACTGGGCAGCTATTGCACTAGTCAGTTGGCAGCAATAACTGCCCAGTTACTAGTAGTTTTAAATTTGTTTAGGTGACATGCCCCTACTTGCGGCATGTCGTGAGTAGGGGCATGCGGGAGGGTTTCACCTCCCTTTTATTAGGTTTTAATGGGGGGGGGGAGATGGAATTAATAATATTACAAGGAGGGAGCTGGCAGCGCTGCCGGCTCCCTCCTTGTTTTTCCCGCGCATGCGCAGTATTATTTCTCCGTGTTGTGGGGGTTAATTCCCCTGCAGCACAGAGTCTATTAAATGAACGAAACGGTAATGCATTCGGCATTTGCCCTTTCGTTTCGTTTATATTTTGTTTGTAGGGCTTTCGTTTAGTAAACAAAGACGAAAAAAACAGAATTTTCGGATGAAAACAAATTGTCATGTCTAGTGTATATTGATATGGAATCCCCGATGCCAGACACCAAAATTGTCGAAGTTGTCAGTCAAAGAAATATATTTTTTGAGACCAGGTTATTTATAAAATATTTCACCAGGAAGGATACATTGAGATTTCTTTAGTTTTTTCCAGGGTCCACAAAACATTGCATTGTTACAATAGGGTACAATTATATTACAAAAAAATAATACAATAAGCAACATGTATATATACAAATACACACATATATACATTTAACACATAAATAATAAATATAGTCAACCATGACAGGTGCATTCTGTGTGCTAAATGTCATGCTAGTACTGGATCGGAGGTTATAGGAGGTGGGAACAGCTGGGGAGAGCATTGTCCTCGGGTAGGGTAGGAGCTTCTCAGAAAAACTCTTATGCACAAGGCTGGAAATGGTCGGTCACAATGGTGGGTCAAATACTTACATTCAAGTACGAAGTGGCAGAACTTACTATGTATTCATCTGGCTTCTTGGAACCTCTTGCAGGGTAGATAGGGTAGAGCACGGGCAGATAAGCTAGAATAAGTTAATGCCTACAGAGCTTGTAGGAAGAAGACGGGGCACTAACTTACAATATTCACAGGAAGTGCCACTAGTAAACACCTAGCAGTATGTAGGGATTCATTTTAGTTATTTATTTTTCACTTTAATTGACATTTTGCTTGGCTGCTTCTAAATGTAGCTTCTGCCTCCCTAAATAAAGTGCTAGAAGTCCCCTGCCTTTCCCCGCCTCTCTTATTACACCCCTACAGTGCCTCCGGCTAATAGGCAATTAGTGATTATTGCTGGTTAGTGGAATAATTACATGCATACGTTAAATCACGAATACTGACACACATAACGAACACACATCACATGACATCACATGACTCTTACACACACTAGCATAGTCAAGAAATGCATGACATATTCATACATCTCACATCAGACATGCATTATCTTTACCACATAAACAATCATTATACGTATGTCACATACTGTATGTATCTGAAATGGGGGTGTGAGCATGTGGGAGTGTCTGAACCTACAGTATCAGATTCGTAACTAAATCATTGTATCCAGGTGAGCGTTTTGGTCACACATCATAACTTACTTCCTGTTTTATGTGAGACTGATTTAGAAGGATACAGAATCATCAAAGAGGAAGTACTATTAAGTATGCTACCATTATAGATTTGTAATGCTATAACCAGGGCTGCCATCAGCTTGGTACAGCGAATAGTAAGGAGCTTGGCTTAGTGTTGAGGCCTGTTTTGGCAATTTAATGCTGTGCAGTCGAGTTAGGGAGATAGAAATATTACCTGTAACCAGACCACATTTAGCAGCATTATTTGTACCAGGCCCCTTACCAGACTTTATGGAGAGCAGCTTGGTGACTGCCTCACACGGCAGCGCTGGGAGTATGTGATGTAGTATCACTTCCACTCCATGTACTAAGGATGGTGAGCAGAAGTGGTCAAGACTTTCCAAGCAGCTTCTCACTAAGCTCCAGGGAAGCCATGCTCCTACGTATAAAAGATAGACAAACAAGAATGTGGCAAAAATATATATATTTTTTGTTTGTGTGTATCTAAGGAAAACACAAAAAGGTGCTGGAAGCGTAGATTGCAAATTACACCCAGAGGTATAAACCATTGAAATGTACATACGCTCAGAAATAAACACATCTAACATATCTAATAAACACATGCCAGTACATGCCACTTTAGGAGAGGGATTTGAGATTAATGTTATTTTATTATTTTACATAGTGAAGTATTCTTGTTGTATTGTTACTTTAAGAAAGGACATTCCTCTATTTACGACGTCATGTTTAGTTTCCATGGTAACTCCTGAGTACAGGTATATATACCGAACATATACATGAAGAATGATGGTCTTGAAAAAGTCTTCAATTAAGACGAAACGCATAGACTATACTCATTCATTGACTGCACTCAAGTCTCCAGCACTTACTATCCGGCTTTGGAACACGGCACTGTGAGAGTGGAACCTCCTGCCGAAATTAACAGATCATCATCGGGAGGGTTGATCGGTGTGCTCCCCTACCCGGCGTTTGGCGTTGCGGGCGGGGTAAGTTACTCTCGGTAACACCCAGAGCTTTTTCCGGCTTGGGAACGTTCCCAGAGTGCCCTTAGCCTTGCCTTATTAGCCGGGAGGATTTCAGAGCTCCATATCCCCCTCCCCTACTGATGATAGCATGCATTTATTTTTTATTTCATTTTTCCAATACAGCATTACAGTGGATTCAGGGATTTTTTCATTTATAGACTTGGGATTACTCCAGTGAAGGGGCCCCTCACTGGAGTTTTACTGACTTTTTTCTTAATCTGTATATTTTAGATATATTTGACATACATTATCATTGTTTTTTTAGCAACATGATGTTATTTTATTAGTCAATTAAAATTAAATATTATTTTTACTTACAGCCTAGCTGAGTATGGTGCTTAATTAAGCCACTAGTTACAGGTATGAAGATACTTTGTTACACTTTTAGATATTACGTTGCCTATTGCATATAACAGCTCTGTCAATCAAACTGTGGATCGTGTTTTATCATACAGTAGGATAGCAATAGAAATAGTGGTTTCTATATATTTATCACTTTTGCATATTATCCAAAAGTGTTATATTTTTGTGGTTGGGATTATTAAATCTCTTCCTGCTGGAGTTATACTTTTTTTTTGGAGCGCTCACACACTTATAATTTTTTATATAGATGACATACACATTTCAGCTCCAAGGGCACTTGTCATGCCCCAAACAACGTATGCTCATTAGAATGAGTATAAGAGTTTATCTATACATTGCGCTAACAATTTTGCTAGCAAATGTATAGATCAGGAGAACCTATTTAAGAAATGTTTTTTTTCTCCCAGCAGTCCCCTGCTCTCCACCCATTGCAACCGCAGCGCATGCACACCCAACATTGTATGTGGCCAGCATGCTGTGCGTGCGCACAAAAGATGCAAACTATGCACAGAATTAGCATGCACAGAACTATTGTTCCAGGCTGCTAATGACACCCAAATGACACAACGGTGGAGGAGTCAGACCTCTGGAAGCAAGGGGTTAAACTCTGTATGTGCACCTTTTCATACTGTAGACTTTCCAAATCACTGAGGTGGTCATGGTGCTTGGAATAACCCTTTAGGTAACATTGCTTCATCAACTGATCTCTTTTACGTTGTAAAACCAAATATATGTATATGTGTGTTACGTTGATCCTTCAAAGTATAGAAAAATAGAAAGATAAATTATATTATTTCAATGCAATAGTCGGCTGATGTTTCCTTTCTGATATTTCTAATAATTAAATTATCTAATGGAAAACTGTAACAAAGAGAGCTGTGTTCCAGAAAACTTGCCTACTTAATTTGATTTCCACGAACAATTATAAGCAGCTGGCACGGAGTCCTTTATGGATTTGGATTGCATATTTCCTGAATGAGTGCTTTCTCCATCAATGGGTTTTCTTTAAATAAAAACAAAATATGTGTACAATAAATAGGTGGCCTATTTTATAATGTAGAATTAATGAAATCTGAAATGAATTTTATTTCGTGACATTTAATAGTTTGTATAATATGTCTTACTGGTGAGCAACAAAAGGTGTGCATGATGTAATGCACATTGCAGAGTGTATATGCGTTCAGTAATCTTTTATAACAATAAAGCCTAAATAGACTGATTGTGTATTAAAAATGCATGTGCAGAGACGAATTAGCAGGGACCACATATGATGGCTGTAGATTTTTTTTAAATGTCTGTCTGGTTTTGAGGATAAGATAAACTGAGTGCTAGCGATATTGGTGGTAGCTGAGCTCATTGCCTTCATAGTTTCTTCATAGTGCTGCAGGGCCTGATATGGGAACGCAACAGTGCCACAAGTGGCCTTTTCATTTAAAAGCCCTCCCAGGTGACGCCTGCTTGTATGATGAAAAGTGGGAAATTCTTACCTGTAGCTCTCCCCACTTGTCTCTGCTTTTTGTCCCCATTCAGTCACATTCTCCGCTCCTGGCAACTAAAGGAAGCCACCATGTCTCATGCATGCGCAAAAGTGCACTACTCCTATATGGAGGATCCTGTGAGATACAGGATCTCCAATACATCTTATTGCACAATATTTTCTGTTAAAAAATATTCTTGTTCTCAGACAGCTGCATCAGCCCACCCTCTCTTTCTCCATCACACTTAGCTGCATCAGCCCACCCTCTCTTTCTCCATCACACTTGCATATAACAGCTCTGTCAATCAAACTGTGGATCGTGTTTTATCATACAGTAGGATAGCAATAGAAATAGTGGTTTCTATATATTTATCACTTTTGCATATTATCCAAAAGTGTTATATTTTTGTGGTTGGGATTATTAAATCTCTTCCTGCTGGAGTTATACTTTTTTTTTGAAGCGCTCACACACTTATAATTTTTCATATAGATGACATACACATTTCAGCTCCAAGGGCACTTGTTATGCCCCAAACAACGTATGCTCATTAGAATGAGTATAAGAGTTTATCTATACATTGCGCTAACAATTTTGCTCCCTGAAGGGAGTAATTGCCAAGTAGTCCATTCTATATCCCTCACAATAATCAAATGGAAATTTTACGGAATGCTATTGCACGGCTATAAACCTGGAAGAACTGACTCCCCCAATGACCTTAAATATATGTGTAGATACTAGGGGTTTCTTGCATACCAAAGCAATGAGGGTGACATCAAGAGGGTATACATTTAAAAATGATCAGCTATATAAAGAGTGCAACAGTGACCCTCAGGACGGACTCCTTCAGAAGCTAATGTGAGGCACATCCCTACAACACAGTGATTAGGGGGCAAGTCTTCATTGTTTTATGTGTGCATATGCATATACATGTGTATATGTTTAGTAGATAGCTCCCTAATTTGGTATCCTTAAATATGGCAATCCCATATAAGGATAACAAATAAGGGAGTTATCTACTAAACAACTGAAATATTACAATTTAGAAAAGGGGTTTTGAAGTTTTATTACATAAATGAATGATGATATAGATTTTATGTGTGGCCCAAGGCAATTCCTCTGCGCTCAATGCGGCCCAGGGAAGCCAAAAGGTTGGACACCTGTGCTCTAGAGGCTCTTCAGCTGTGAGAAACGAGCGAGACATTGTCCTCTGAATGCATCTCATAGAGGACATTCCATTGTAGAACTGTGTCACTTGCCGCACATGCACTTCTTGTCTCTAATGCTCCTCTATGTGAAGCACTGGATTGGATGAGAAGATGTAGAAGTAGCGTCGGGGGGAAGCATCTGCACCAAGTGAGTCTCGGCACTAAAAATTAAGAGGATATTTTTAGGTTCCCCTTTATTTAGGGGTGGGGGGCTTCAACAGTGAGGAGACACTATAGCTCTAGAAATTCATGTTTTAATTTTTAATGCTATAGTGTTCCTCTAAGTCTAAGGTAAAGGTAAACCTTGCCATTTGCACTAACACATTATTTAATGCTTCAAGCTACTTTGGTAAACACAATATGCGGTAGGTTATTACGTCAGGGCTATTTTGTTTTTTTGTGGCTTAAGATTGCGGTTTCTATCATTTATACAATTTCTTTTTAAAAGTAATATGAATAAATGTGTGGTTTTACTTTTTTACATGCAGCATTTTCATTCCATATTACTTCTAAACGCATGGATTATATTAGCAAGCTCTCTCTTGCAGAAATTCAAATTAGATACTTTCCAGAATTCAGACTATGAAATTGATTTCATAGAACATGATTACACCACTGCAACAAAATGCCAGCCAGCCCCATCTGAAAATTCCCCCATCATAGCTTACCATTTGTAAAAGAACAAACACTTGGCTATTTTATCATCGAGGAACACTGTAAGACAATGTGTATATAGTTCCTGTTCCACTTACAAGACTATTACTCAGATAAGCCTTTAGTGGGTTTAAGGTGGTATCACAGAAATCCTTTGTGATACTCCTTCTTGGTTGGGCTTTACTGGATTGAATGGGTGCATTCAGATTTCCATAGTCGTACATTTGCTGAGTAAACGATATCGTGCAAAATGCTGTGCACAATGAAACGATTTTAATTCACTGCCATCCGCTTTAAATCTAGGTAAAATTGCATGTGACAAAATCATACAAGTCACCAACACTGTTAGTTTTTTAAAAGCTTTAATAATCTGAATAAAAAGGTTGTCTAGTCACCTTTGTTTAACAAAAGACTTAATTTCACAAGTGAAATACTTATTTTAGTTTCTCTATCAGTAAAATGTTTTGGTATTTACTAGGCTGACCCTGAATAGCAGACTTTTTTTTTTGTTTTTGTTTTCTATAATTTTTTTTTAATTTTCTTTTGCCAATGGGAGATCACATTGCTGTTTTGTCTCAGAATATACCCATCTCAACAGTCCGGGGCTATTCTGTAGAATTTTTGGTGTGTGTGTGTGTGTGGATATGCACGGGTCCCCTTTCCCATCCCGCTAGTTTGGTTAATCAAGTTGACCAACTCTGTTTTTGATAGCAGACTTTTTAAAAATCTCTTTGTGTAATTTAATGTTTATAATGCAGCAAAAATCAACAGCTGGTATCTGTACAATATTTGTTTGTTTTAGTTTTCAGTGTTACACATGTCTACATAATAAACATCACCTATTTCTTTTTGTAAAGAAGTATTTAAAGGGACACTCCGGGCACCAGAACATCCACGAACACCTGCTTGAATCACACGTTCAAGGCTTGAATCTGGAAGCCTTTTATAGTGGCGCCACTAATAGGCTGATAGAGTGAGTTGATGCTCTCAGCCTAATTGTACATTACTCAAGCCGTTTTGTGAATTTACCGATATGTTTAGTGTTATACCTGACACACTCAGCCTTACGATAGTGCCCCTGTCTGAGAATTTGTGATTCATGGGCACAGGATTTTATATGGTGGATGTTCATGGGCACCGGATTTAACTCTTTGAGTTGAAACCATGTGTTAAAGTTTTAACCTCTTGAGGTAATCCAATGCCCGTGGACCTCCTCGCACTATAACAACTTCATTTTTATGAAATTCAATGCAGTTTTTATGGTGCCCAGAGTGCCCTTTTTGTGTATGTTGTATTTCCAACTGAATTTTATTGGATATTTAAAGCATCCGAAGCAACCTTGGTTAAGACCCTGCTTTGTACAACTTGACTTTATTATATTTATGTTACAGGCAAAACTGGAGTGTCCTGTAAGCCAAGACTTTACTGTGGAAAATGTGCTCTCAGCTCTGCCAGCATTTCCCAAGGGCGCTCCACAGCAACGAGCGAAGAGAGCCGCAGAAGCATTAGTAAAAGCCGCCAATTATTCCAGGCTAATGGCCCTGCAACAGGTACCCAAATGTTACATCAGTGCAATGATTCACTCCAGGGTTCATTTAATAGCGTTCTAGAATTTATCTGCTTGCCCTTAAGTGTGAAGTAAAACTATTACCATAAACAGCTGCTCCAAAGCCTTGTGAGCTTTCACAGTGTCAGACATTTCCCAGCCACAACCAGGAAACCGCTTGTTGAATATGTTTTATTGTAAAAAAACTGACATGTAGTTTAAAAAAATTCTAATCTGTGAAGGCTTTTAAAAGCACTTATTTATTTATTTAACACTTCCCACATCAAGAGATCCATCCTGCATTGAGGATCTTTTTGTTCCAAATGCTTAAAGGACCACTATAGTGTCAGGAAAACAAACTCGTTTTCCTTAGGTACCACCTATCCTCAGGACCCCTTCCCGCTGGGGTCCACCTATCCTCTCCTTCCCCTCTGACGTCAGCGCCCGAGTGGATCCAAATGCACATGCGCAGCCAGAGCTGCGCACATTAAAAACGCCCATAGGAAAGCATTTCTCAATGCTTTCCTATGGACGTTCTGCGTGCTCAATGCGATTTTCACATTGAGCGTCGGGGAAGCGCCTGTAGCGGCTGTCAGGAAGAAAGCCACTAGAGGCTGGATTAACCCTGCAATGTTAACATACCCAATTTACAGCTGCAGGGTTAAAACCTGGGGGACCTTGCACCCAGACCACTTCATTGAGCTGAAGTGGTCTGGGTGACTATAGTGGTCCTTTAAAGTAAGGGTATCAAACTCTGCCTCACCCCCAAAATGTTTATGGCCTACAACTCCCAGAATTGTTTCAGTGGAATAGGTGGCCAATGCATCATGTGAGTTACATAGAAACATAGAATGTGACGGCAGATAAGAACCATTCGGCCCATCTAGTCTGCCCAATTTTCTAAATACTTTTGTTAGTCCCTGGCCATATCTTATAGCTAGGATAGCATTATGCCTATCACACGAGTTGTAGTTCAGCAACATCTAGGGGACCAGAGTTTGAGATGCCTGTCTTAAAATACACACACAACAACAAAATGGTAGCACTCAGAGGACAGAAATATTTCATAGTTTCTTGAGTAGGGTTTCTGTGTGACTGCAAAAAGCAGGTGGATTTATTTTATAATTTTTCCCTATGTAGGATATATTAATAGTGAATCTGGTTGAAATTCTATGTTTGGTAAATATGTGAATCTTATATACTCCTTAGGAATCATATGTGAGAATTACTGAGACCAGAGAACAGTGATTAAGATTGTACTCTGTAAATTACTCTTTAATCCTTATATCTGCAATGACCTGTGTGATTTATCAGTGAAATTTTCTAGTAATAATGTGGACACTAGAACAGGTTTAATTAGTGACTGGTTTCACTGAAAATTAAACTACCAGAATAAACGCAAAAGATAAAAGGTATACTGAGCTGATTATATCTTCCTCATCTCCTTGATGGCTGCTGCAGTTGATACCCCTAGAGTACATTTTATATGTATTTATGTTGATTATACTATTTGCCAGAGGCACAGAATGACAAGATAATACATCGTAAAAAAAATATATATTTTTTTATTTCTTTGTTTGCAACTTGTTTTGATGTAAATTTATTTTCAATAACCAACATGACTGCCAGAGCTGTTATGAATTATTATTTTTTTTTTACACTTTTAAGTCTGAGCATATCCTTATAAACTCAATATACAATTTATCCTACTGATAAGTGATATAATTCGTTATGGAAAGAGATGTTAATCAGTACTCACCTCCTTTTCAGCAGTGGGGTTGGGGCCATGTTCTGAAGTTGTTACATTGATCTAGCACCCATCTTCTGCTCCCACCGGAAACCTGCCACACTTCAGCACTATTGGCTCTGCTGTAAAACACATTTCCCAGCATCCCTGCCATGACAATGACATGTCACATTATTTTGCGAACGCATCATTGTCAGAACAGAGTGACAAATATCCGTCATGCTATACATGTATTCCCCCAGCAACCGTGAGAGAAACTTACAGGAATATTAAAACAGCTACAGCACATCCATTGTAGTTGCTGAAACAGGGAGCAGAGAAACAACCTGCAGGAAGGTTCTCACTGTACACGGCTACTCAATCCTCTACTTTATTATTATTTATAAAGAGACAACAAGTTTCGCAGAGCTGTGCAATTGGTGGAGTAGCATACAAGTATATGAAACAAAACGAACTGGATGCACAGGAACAGAGGGTGGAGGGCACCGCTCAAACGAAGTTACATTCTAGAGGAAGTAGGAAAAGTGACACGAGGTGTATTTCATGTACGGGAAAAAGTACATTGCTAGATTACAAGGGTTGGGGGGGTGCGTGGCTGGACCACCAAGCTGGCTGGTTGCATGCCTGACAGGCTCCTGGCAGATATCACTTATTAAGCTAAAATTAAGCAACAACTCAACTCCTTTCGTATTTGAAAGTTGACAACGGTGACCTAAGTAACTGCTGCTAAGCCTTCAGAACCCTGGGTCGGATGCTGTAAAGGCCTGCTGGGAGATTGTGCACCCGGAGCTTGCGGCCTACTCGACTAAGGGGTGAGGTGGATGGTCGCCGCCTCACTTACTGATGGATCGTCATGCCAGTCCCGTTCCCCACTGGCCCGATACATGTACCTCGGCTGGTTCCTGTAGCTCACCACAGTTTGTGCAACGCAGGCGGCGATCCTAACAAAATGGCAGTCGTGCCTCTGTCACCAGAGCATATTCACACGCAGCACTGCGGAGACCACTGCAATGTGATTGAACGCTCACTCAAATAGCTAAATGGGTCTTTCAACACTTCTGGGCAATGCTGGGGAGGCGCATGACTCAAACACCAACCCATACTGAGAGGAAGGTGAAGAAGGCAGGAGATGAGGGGCTGAGACTGCCTCTTTCGGGCAAAGCCCCTACTCCTATGCTAGCTACCTGTGCTGACTGCCCACCTAGACCGAGGAGATTGCCTCGGGCCTCCTGTTGTGCCAGATATGGGAATGTCTCGAACTCGCAGAGCCTTAGAGTCTGTGTTACATAGAAACTTCCCTCTGCATAGTCCCGTTTTTATTGCTCCAATACCCTCTGTAGCCTCCATGCTCTTGCGGTTACTCTGCCAAGTATAGGCATTAGCTGACTCTCTCTGGTTTGAGAACTTGAAGTTCGTGTGCCGCTATATGAGAGTCACTGTTAACTGGTCAATTAATTTACTGCATTTGTTATCTTCTTTATTATATATTTATGTGATATTCCATTGGTGTATGCAGAGTTTTAAAACACCTCTCCAAGTTCCAGTGCTATCCTTAGCACTTAGTTGGCTGCGTAACCATTATTGCACTAACTCATGATAACTTGGCATCCTGTGTAACATTAATATTTCACCAGTAGTTTAATTCTTCATCTTGAAACCTAACTTGTATTATGACTTTATTATTTAGATAAACTCTACGTGTCTAACCAGACCTACTAATTTCTAAGTATATTCTCGGTACTATATTCAGACATGTTCGTCAAGCTTATATATGCTCGCTTCTATCACAAAAATCCTCCACAAAACTAGGTATTATCAAACGATCGTGAAATGATATGCAATTCTCGTACATTGTGTGTTAAATATTTCCTGCATGTAATGTCTTTTTCTCATATCTCAATAAAACAAAGATTGACAGAAGAAAAATGAAATGTTAGTTTATTGGATGATATCATTGCAGGAGAGGAAGGGTGAGGGTGGGTTACCAAAGTACGGGTAGGGAAGGCTATTAACAGTTTAAGTGATATGCTTTCTTAAAATAGTGAGTTTTCAAAATGTTTTTTGAAAGGATGAATACTGGGTGCAGGGGCGTACCTAGAGCATTTGGCACCCAGGGCGGATCCTGTGCTGGCACCCCCTCGCCCTTCCCTCTCCCCCCCCCACACAAAAAAAAACCTGTACATTTTTTAAATGTTTTCTTATTTTTTACAATTTGTAAACTTTGCAAAACCGCTCTCAGCCCCTCCTATAAAACCCTTGTCCTTCCCCGCCCCCTCCTTTAAAACCCCTGTCCTGCCCACTTCTACAAATCCTGTACTGACCCCCATCCACAAAACCCCCCGACCCCCTTCCACAAATCCCCTGCTTATCCCCCCTTATAAAGACTCCTGTCCCAATACAAAAACCCTGCCCCCGTTTACAAAATCCCTGCAGACCCACACACACATTTATAGGCAGACAGTCACACACACAGTTACAGGCACACACTGGACATACTTGTGTATTAGTGAGGATAGGTAGGTTGGAGCAGCGTTTTGTAGAGATTATTAAGCAAGAGACGGAATTTTACATTGAGCCCTTAATTTTTATGGGAAACCAGTCACACACACAGTTACAGGCATACAGTCACACACAGTTACAGGCAGACAGTCACACGCACACAGTCACATGCAGACAGTCATGCACACAGTTACAGGCAGACAGTCACATATACATTGACACACACATGACAGCAGTAGACAGTCACAAGCACACAGTCACAGACAGATAGTCACACACACACACATACATACACAGTTACCGACAGTTTTACACACACACACACACAGTTACAGACAGTTTTACACACACACACACACAGACAGTTACAGACAGTTTTACACACACACAGTTACAGACCGTTTTACACACACACAGTTACAGACAGTTTTACACACACACATACACAGTTTTATACACACACACACACACACACTGTCACACACTATTACTTACAGACAGTGGGCTGGAGGAGGACTGGATTCCATGAAGCCTGTGGAGAGAGACAGCAGTAACCGGTAAGGGCCATATCAAGCCCTGCCCCCGCTGCCGGTTTGGCTATGCCCCCGATTTTAATTAGCTCCGCCCCAATTTACCTCCGTGCGAACAGTTCAGCTGGTCTTAGTGTGTGAGCTGTTCTGGCCGCACGGCACCCTAACTGCCATGGGGGGGTACTTTTCAGCCACAGCTCACACAGCCCCCTCTAGCTCCCACATCAGGGTCATGGCACCCCCCACCCTAGTGGCACCTGGGGCGGACCACCCCCTCCGCCCCCCCTTACCCCGCCACTGACTGGGTGAGATTCTTATGTAGCAGGGAAAGCAATGGCACTATCCTTGTGGAGTTTTGAAGGTGGGTGTCAGAGGTGCGAGTATGAGCACAGGATAGACGCAGGTCTTCGGCAGAGCGTAGGGGCCTGGACTGGTAGGTTGGAGCAGCGTTTTGTAGAGATTATTAAGCAAGAGACGGAATTTTACATTGAGCCCTTAATTTTTATGGGAAACCAGTGTAAGGAAGAACAGAGGGGGCGAAGCATGAGAGGTGCGGGCACACAGGAAGATGAGCCTTGCCGCCGTATTTTATATAGACTGTAACGGACCAAGCTGGGAATGCGTAAGACCACTGAGAAGCTGATTACAGTAGTCAAGGAGAGAGAGGATTGTGGCATGGACTAGCACCATAACTGCACCCAGCATTGGACAGTGGCAGATGCGAGCTATATTTTTGAGATGGAAGCAGCAGGGTTTGGCGAGTGACTGGACATGAGGGGTGGAGGAGAGGTCAGAGTCAAAGAGAACATCTAGGCAGCGAGCCTGCAAGGTAGAGCTGATGGTAGCACCAATGACATGGTGGGAGACAGACACGTAAGTAGCAACACTTGAGGGAGAAAATATGAGAAGTTCTGTTTTGGACAGGTTAAGATTAAGGAAACAAGCAGCCATGCAGTTGGAAATAGCAGAGAGGCAGTCAGAGGCACCAGTCAAGAGGGATGGCAAGAGTGTAGAAGAGGACAAATAGATTTGTGTGTCTTCCGCATAAAATAATAATGATAGCCAAAGGAGCTGATGAGTTTACCAAGGGAGGCAATACAGATCGAGAAGAAGTCTATAAGTCCTATATAAATTTTAATGCAATATTATAGCTAATAAAACTAAAACAAGGCATATGTTGAAAATATTTTTTTTTTAAATGCAAAAACTTACACTAATACTCAATATAACCCTTTTTTGAGGGTTAAGTGATTTCATAATGGTATGTAAAATGTAGAAATATATATATATTTACCTTTTGTAAAATGAATAAATTATCAGTTTAATGTGTATTTTTTTTTTAAATGATCTCTGCACTGCATTTGTATTTGTTTACCTAGTGAGTGTCTGTGTGTGTGTGTGTGTGTGTGTGTGTATATATACAGCACTATGGAATTTGTTGGAGCTTTATAAATAATATATATACATATATATATATAAACCAAATGATCTTCTGAAAGCTTTGTAAGTATTTTAAAAAGAAACATTATGTGTTATCCCTTGAAAAAAGAAATGTAAGAGCAGCCTGTGTATTTCCACGGAACGTGTCATTTCAGCCCATTTTTTGCAGTTTGATTTAGATTTGAATGTATGTCTGCATATTGGAATCATTTCATGCCTATTTTACAGACTGCGGGAAGGATGGCCCAGCTGTGTTTATGAAGCATTTTCAAAATAAATAATGTTGTCACCCCGTAGTGCGAATCCCTGCTTCTTTGAAAATAAAGCAGTCTTGGCGTAGTCATCTTTTTTTGCTATATAGAAAATGTTAAACATTTGCAAGATTATTTTTACTTTTCTTACATTATGTCCCCTCTCCCCCCACACCAATGGTTCTGACAACAATTTTGAATTTTCAAATGACTTATTGAGCTCAATTTGCTGTTAGAAGACAAAACAAATTATAGTGCTACTTTGAACAAAATATACTGCTATTCGTTGTGCGTCATAATGTATTTGTGTAAGCTGCAGGGGATATCTCGAGAGTCGGTAGCTTGCTGGTAGATAACCTAAAAGCGGAAAACCTGTCGATAGCTGTGGAAATAGTGGCAATAAATGTCTGTTATATTTAAATGCTCATTGATGCGTGATGTTTGCTTGTGTTTGTTTCTGTCAACTTAGTTTGTTCTTGCTTAACCAGTAATTCTGTCATTGAGACTTCACTGGTTGAAAGAGACACATCTTATTTACTAGGCCTAAAGCAGCTATCCACATTATATCGTTAACTTTAGCAACTTTTCCTAAATGCAGTGGAGACCTAGTCCCCCAACACATAAAAAATGTACGAAGTAGGTGTTTCAAAGAATTAATTTTCTGATATATTACGTGCAATTCTATTTTGCACAATAGTCTAAGAATGGGTCAATGAGTCTATTTTGAAATGAAAGTATGGTTCTCCAAACTGATTCCACGTATGTAAGGAAAAAAGACCCATGAAAAAAGATAAAGGACCACAGTTTAAAAGTAAAAGCATTTTTATCGAATAAGAAATTGTGTTGTCGTTTTTTTGAGAATTTATGATGTTGTGTTATCTTCTCCACAAATGAACGGTTATAGTATTTCTCTATTCTGTAGAGAATTCATGATATTCTGTTAAAAAAACAAACAAAAAACTAAAAACACTGCCCTGGTCATTATAGCTTTAACCAGGCACTGACCTGTTCTAGTTCTGATGTAGCAAAAAGCTTTATGCCACCCAGCGGAAGAATTGCAACAGTCTCACTGCTCAATTCTCTGCCATTTAGGAGTTGAATCACTTATGTTTCTGTTTATGCAGCAGTAACCACATCTCCCCTGGCAGTAACTGACACAGCCTGCATGAAAACCAAATGTTTTTTTTAATTTTCAATCAGATGTAACTTACTTTAAAAGTTTTTATTCCCTGCACTTTAAATTGAACTTTAATAACATACAGGAGGGTCCTGCAGAGTCTAGCAAGCTGTTAAAAGTGCAGGAGATAAGAAATTCTAAATTAAACACAATGTGCAATAAAGGAAGTGTAAACATTAGATGACTGTTTCGGTGTTTAGGAAGGTTGTGTAAGTCACATACAGAGAAGTGTGACTCTGCATGAACAAAGTGATTTAACTCCCAAATGGCATAGAATTTAGCAGTGAGACTGCAGAGGCATGATCTATACACCAAACCTGCTTCATTAAGCTAAAAATGTTTTAGGGACTATAGTATTCCTTGAAGCAGTAATTGAGGATCTCAGCTAGGCAGCTAGAGTGAATGTGTGAGGATCTGAACTTGTCCCTTTTGAAGGAGTAAATTTGTACTGGTGTGGCAACAAGCTAGAGACCACCAGCTAAATAAGAATTTTTATCTGCAACTGATCTACATTTTGTCCTCTCTTACTGAGTTCCTGCTATCCTAACATTTTTTTCGCCTCCTAGATTGAAGCTTTGGAAGCAGAACTTGATTTCCACCGGAGTATTTACAGCCTCCAAGTTCAGTACAGTGAAGCTCTTTTTCAAGGAATAAAACAAGCCTATCACAATTTTCAGGAAAACGTTGTTACTGTGATTTGTTGTCCACTAAACGGTTAGTGACAGATAAAACAAGCTTAACATAATACAGAAGATCCACAGTTACAGTGTTTTCCAATCATTTAGTGTCAATGTTAATGTTATTTAAATGGTGAATGTGTATAATTTACAATTTTGTTTTATTTTTTTTGAGGATGAAGTAAAGTCAGGACCTTAATATCCCATATTGTTTTGCCTGTTTACTAGGAACAATTCTGGCATTCACCCAACATTTAAGGAGAACTGTCACATCCCTGTTTTCAATATTATGTTTATTTATCTCCTATATTTTTAAAACATATATGTGTGTGTGAGGTCTGAAAAAAAGATCAGTTGTAGAAATCCAAAGTACATTATTTATTTATCTCTATCCTCGGACCGAGCGCCTTAATTTTTCTCCCTGTCAGTATTTATCATAAGCTCTGCTCTTTAATGAGCATTGTATATGCATGGTATATGAAAGTGGAGAAACAGAACAAAGTTTCTGTTAATTCTCCTCCAATGTGCTGTGTGCCTCGTCTATCCCAGGAGCAAACTAGATTATGATATCAATTGCTACGTTCTGACAGGAGGATCAAAATCCACCTGCACCTTGCAGGGTTAATTTCCCTTTGCTTCCCCTGTGTAATTGTAAATATTCTTGTTTCCTGAGGTTGTTCCCGACTTGCCCACTAGAAAGAGCTCTTCCTGGCACATCCTACAGCCGCCCAAACTTTAAACTCTCAGCGTAGGGGCAGCAGAAAGCTGAGAGCTTTCATATGACACATAGGACTTAAGGGAACTCCACCAGGAAGCCAATATATTTAAAGAAATACCTGGGTGGCCACAGCGGGACAAGCCACCTAAGCACTTAACTCAGAAAAGCAAACAGAAGTTCCTACTTATGAACTCCCAGCTCTTCAGTGTTTGGGGTGGAGGTGGAGAGCAGTGCCTGGCACAACCCAGGTAAGAAGTTGACTGCTCCAGATTTTATCTAGTTACAATGGGGGCTGTCAGAGTAGTCCTAGCACTGCTTGGACTGTAGTGGTCATGGTGGTTGGAGTTTTCCCTTATATATTTGGACACTCTGGGCACCAGTACAACTATAATGCATTTAATAGGTTTTGATGTCAGACACATAACTTTTCATGCTAGACAATAACATTTACCACCTTTGTGATCTAACAAAAAGCAGTGAGACTGCACTGGCATGATTTATACACCCAAACTGCTTCATTAAGCTAAAGTTGTTTTAGTGCTTGAAGTGTCCCTGTAAAAACTGTAAACTCTTAAAACATAGTACCTGTAAGGTTTGGGAAATCAGATTGCATTTTACTAACAGGCATGGAAACAGGCCCATACTTTCCGAGATAGGAGGCGTAGAACCGATATACAAGTGTGTGTTGTCTCCACATGTTTATTCCAGAAAATAAACACTTTTTTTGTGTGTGTTCTTATTCCTTTCTGTTTTAAGTAATTGCCTTTGTGTATAGTTTGAATATTTCTTTGATTCACTACTGTATAATTGAATTGATTTTATATACCTGACATAACTGATTGCATAATCGTTGACAGTAATTTTTACATCTCTTGGCCAGAGAGAAGTTTAAATAAATAGTAGAGGTATTTCAATGTTTTGATTAAGATCTATTTCTAAGTTGGTTATTTGTGAAATGATTGCTAATACTGTCAAGCAAATCCTTTTGTACCGATTAAATTTGTAGTCCAAGTGCCATAAATCACAATTCTGTCACTTTCCTCGTAGATATCCTTTCCTCCTATTCTGAACTTAAAATGGAAGGCTCTGAAGCAGCTCTGAGAAACTTCTTGACAATTTTTAAAAACAATGTGGAACAGATTCAGGATGCTGTTGACACCTTGACTCCATCAAAGAAACAGCAACATGAAGGTAACAATTTAACATCCTCAATTTTAAACAGCGAGGAATGACAGTGAGAGTCTATTTCTTCAGCCTGAGAAGCAAAGCGCTTACAGATCCATTTTATCTCTTCTATTGATATGCGCAATGCGTGCCATACTATCCTACAGGGAACAGGATGTAAGTGGTGTGTGTGTGTGTGTGTTTGTATCAAATATATACAGAGGTGTAACTAGAAACTCATGGGGCCCCGGTGCGAAAATTGCCCTGGGGCCCCCCCATAGTCTACCCCCTGCTACTCCCCCATACGTTCCCCACCACACATGCAGACAAACAGATACACACACAGACATACACATACATACAGACACACACACACACAGACATGCGTCCTCATGTGTCTTATTCCCCCAGCCCCCCATGTGTCTTGTTCCCCCAGCCCCTCCATGTGTCTTGTTCCCCCAGCCCCTCCATGTGTCTTGTTCCCCCAGCCCCTCCATGTGTCTTGTTCCCCCAGCCCCTCCATGTGTCTTGTTCCCCCAGCCCCTCCATGTGTCTTGTTCCCCCAGCCCCCCTATGTGTCTTGTTCCCCCAGCCCCTCCATGCATACATTTCCAGTATTAGACGCATAAAAATATAGTCAGCACAATTTTTTTTCTTTTTATTATATGGTGACAGCATATGAAGAACTTCCAAACTGAAGAGGCAGAACACATCCACATAGATGTTCTCTTCCATTTCTTTACTCCCCTTCCCACAATGACTCTGCAATGCTTTTATTGTCAGTCAGGCAACTGTATCCATTAAGGTTATTGTAGCAGAATGAACGTTTGTAATACCCTTTTTATTCCCTTTGCTCGGCTGTCCGTACTCCCCGTTCGTTTATCGAACCCCCATCTGTGTGGTCCCTGGGTTCGGATCATTTAACAACCGACCACCCCTGGCTGTTAACCGCGAATTGCTTGTTAAAGAACGTTTCCTCTGTGTGCGGCCATTTTCTCTCTCGAACCTGGGCAGCGGTACATGGTCGTCGACGACCTGGAACTAATTTTGGCTACTCTACCCCACGAACACCCGGTAAACCGATACTGCTCCCATCCAACTTCCTTTAAGAGAACGGTGTTCGGGAGACCTAAACCACCAAACAGGGGGAACATTCGTATGCTAGCAGCCAGTGGGAGCCTTCGTTGGCATTCGTGTGATATTTTGACAAAGTGGGTGCTCAAATCCCAGCTGTTCGGTAATGTGACTTTCATGGGGTTCGTTCTGAAATATTAAAATGTGTTTTATGATGTTTGTAAATATTGTATATTTTCTGTACCTGAGAGATAATTTAATTAAAGAGTGGTTCTTACTCAATTATCTCTCAGGCACAGAGGAGGAGTCTGTGAACTGTTTACTTGTCCCCTCTCAGGTCCATCAGGGAAATGCCCCTGGAATATGATTTGAGATACCCCAAGCATGGGGAGTTGCATAAAAGCCAGCTCTGACTCAATAAAAACCAGTTGACTCCCAGAATTGTGTGCCGTCCAGTTACTGGGGGGATTTTGCTTTGGATATTTGATTGCTTCCCCAGCTACAAGAATTCTACAGCAGAGATATTTATGCTGGATATTGGAGTTCCGCTACAGTTATTGTTTAAGCTTGGCATCTTTGTGTTAATAGTTTGAAATATTCTAGTTATTGTGTATTTAGAATAATGCCTTAAAGTGGCATTCCAAAACTCTAAAGCGCTTAGTGTGGAGTGTTATTTATTTATTTATTTATTTATTTCTAAATCATTTTACCAAAAGTGCAGTTTTCAACAGAAATTGGCACTCTTATAAATGAACCTTGTTACACCCTCTTGACTGTCAATCAGGCAACTGGTCCTGTTACTTTCTGGTTGTTTGCCTCTCTTTTGAGTTTAACGCTACTGAGTTAATGTCTCAGAGCACCTGCATTGTAAAGACTTCTCATTGAGCTGCATTGGGATGTCTGTGATTGGATAGCCACAGAAAGTCTGGATGAGGCTAGAATGGGAGGGCTTTTAAATGCTACGGACAAAAGGTCTGAAGCTTTTGCAAGCTCTTTTTAGCTCTAACACCAATGAAAAATGCATAACTAAATACATATTTGTTTTCATTGTGGGGATATCTACTAAATATTGATTTTTAAATGGGCATTGGGGTGTCCCTTTAAAAAAATATTAAGATTCCAGTAATGTGAATTTTCTTATTTTATTGCACTCACAGGACAGTGTTTTGATCTGTGGGTCTTTACCCTATTAACCCTAGTAATGCTTTAAACAGGATTGGAATTGGATTGGAATCTGTATTTTCAAGGGATATTTCATGTATAATAATACTTTCTGAGACTGATGCAAAAATGTACTGTTTTGTAACATTAAATCTGGTTCTTAGATATTCTGTCTGTGCTGCATCGTCTCTGCAAACTGAATGAGATATCATTTGGGGAATTTACCTCTGTTTGGATAGAAACATTGCATGAACGCTAGCCTGAAGAAGGTTATTATTCATTGTGAAATAACCTTGGGGTCCTGTCGTAGTTACTCTTCTTATTAATGGTCTTGTAATAGGCATTATATTGCCACAGTGTTTGCTAATATCTTAGAATTGTGTAATCATTTCAGAAAAGTCAATCATTGTGAGTTGTGCATTTGGGACATAAATGCAAATGTGCAAGTTTTACACATTAAATAGATCTAAAATTACATTTCATACACCCCACCACATAAAATCATTGGTGCCCATTTTTAATAAACCTTGTAGTAATAAGTTACCATAAATTGTACCCAGTTTTAATCTAATTTTTATTTTGGTTGTTATGAAGGTAGAAATTGTGATACTGAGTTTCATAATTATTCAGATTGAGACAAAATTACAAAGTGACAGAGACGTGCTGTCTCTTTTTTTAGGTTTTAGTCAATCCAACTAGCAATTAAAATTCTATATGTCAACTATGCTCACCTAGAATATCAAAGTTAATATAATATAGGAAATATTCCAATTACCAGGCCAAAGAAAGTTTACAATTTCAATTAATCAAACAGGTGCCTAAGAGGGAATATGAACTCTATATGCTAATACATTTGACTTAAAAGACCTCTATAGAATACCTGTTGGGAAACCGGTCTACTCTTTAAGATTTGCATATTTCTCCTTCAGCAATTTTGTATATAGTAAGACTCTTGAATGTATGTGGTTATCTACCTGCTAAAGATGGTGCTCTGCTCATAGTGCAACATTTACATTCTGTACTTCCATCTGTCTAATTTGGACTAGGCTGCTAAACTTGTCTAACAGAAGAATCGTTTTTTTCCTGTTCTACCCTTTCATTTACAGCGGTGGGGTTGGGGCTGATAAAACTGCTGAGACTGGTTGCCAAGTTGTAATACCTTTTGTGAATTGAACCATTAAATTACCATAGGCTCAAATAATTTTAGTGCTGGCTAAAGCGATTTCGTGAATTGGGTTTCCATCAGAGCGAGGATTCCATGCATTTTAGTTCAACAGCAGAGAAACCTTTTTTAAGCGATATAGGTAACTTTAATGCCAATGTAGAGTGTTGCAGAATATGCTGGGACTTCATTTATTACATGATAAATATAAAGGGAAGAACTCAGTATATCAATCAAACTGACTGCATTTAAATCAATATAATGGCATTAACCTCTCAAATATTGCAATTTCAAATGTATTTTTTTGAATTATTTGTAAAATTATTAAATATTAATTACACGTGAAAAAAACTAAAATCACATTCTTGCAGGGAGGTTTTGTTTGCACCATTTTTAAAAATGAACTTATTTTATCTTCATCTCTGCTTAGCAGTTTACTCGAAAATGCATAAATACACAAAGAGACACTTTAGTCAAATTAACAATTTCATCTCATTGAATTGGTTGTAGTGTCTTGGTTCCCCTGGCACTGTCCTTCTATTCAGCATTAAATCGCTTTTAATGTTTTAATGCTAAACTAGATACCCTATTCCCGCTGTGCTACTTGGGCTAATAATTAAGCATTAACCTGAGCGTCACTGGGTGGCTGTGATTGGCTGATAGCTGACTGCATTCAGCCTATACAGTACCATTCAGGTATGAATGCCTATATCTATAAGGAAGTGTATAATCTCTCCCTTAGTTAGCTGACTGCATTCAGCCTATACAGTACCATTCAGGTATGAATGCCTATATCTATAAGGAAGTGTATAATCTCTCCCTTAGTTAGCTGACTGCATTCAGCCTATACAGTACCATTCAGGTGTGAATGCCTATATCTATAAGGAAGTGTATAATCTCTCCCTTAGTTAGCTGACTGCATTCAGCCTATACAGTACCATTCAGGTGTGAATGCCTATATCTATAAGGAAGTGTATAATCTCTCCCTTAGTTAGCTGACTGCATTCAGCCTATACAGTACCATTCAGGTGTGAATGCCTATATCTATAAGGAAGTGTATAATCTCTCCCTTAGTTAGCTGACTGCATTCAGCCTATACAGTACCATTCAGGTGTGAATGCCTATATCTATAAGGAAGTGTATAATCTCTCCCTTAGTTAGCTGACTGCATTCAGCCTATACAGTACCATTCAGGTGTGAATGCCTATATCTATAAGGAAGTGTATAATCTCTCCCTTAGTTACACCACCAGTAGGGGCAATGCTATAGGAAGCCAGTGACTCATGAAAATGGTTTAACACTGAATGGAGGGACAGCACAAGAGGACCCCTAGCACTATACTCAATTCAGTGAGATGAAATAGTTATAGTGTCTACACTAGAAGGGAAGAAATAGAGGAACACAGGTAATTGTACAATCTAATGCTTATTAGTATTGTCCGGTTTATTTAACTTAGTAAGAGTTTTGGGGAATTCCAAGTGAACCGAAAGTGATTTGAAATGTATGGCCGAAATTGCTAAATGGAAAAACATCTACAAGTCATCTCTGTATGCAGTTCAGCTAAATTTGAAATTCACTATAAATTCACTTTGAAATCCTAATAATTCTCACTTTAGTAAATAAGTCTGTGTAGTTCTTACACAAATGCAGTTTAGTTCACAAGATATTTGTCATTGTTTTTATATATTTTCGTTCTTTCATTTAAGGCTCCTCCGTTTTATTTTTATTACTTTGACAGCTAGGAGAGGTAGACCTCATAGACACCGAGGGTTGTAAAATGCATTTGTTATTGGTATTCAATGTTTATCAGAAATGCAGTTTAGTTAATCGTATAATGTATGTGTTCAGTAATGTTTTTCCCTTTTTCTATTTAAGGTAATGAGGCCATTTCAAAATTGGGGAAAGATTTCTTCCTTGCTTTAGAGAGCTCACTCAAGATTTGTGGAGAAAAGCGTGATAAATCTGCTTTGGAAATTGCAACTTTAAAACATGAACTGGATAAATCTTTAGAAACCCTCAGCTCCTTGAAGAAGGAACGTAAACCAAAGGGTTCTTCCAAAGACTCTACAAGGTCTGAAGTAGAAAGTCTTGAAGGCACTGGATTAAGTTCTGCTGACCCAGGGCAAGAAAGAGATAGCGAGAAGGCTTCTCGGCAGTTGAGTTACAGAAGAAAACATTCCCAGCCTTCTCTTTCTACTAATGATAGAGAAACCATAGACAGTCTAAAATCACAAGAAAAGAAAAGCTCTCTTCCAGTTCCCCATCAAAGAAGCAAAAGCCTGCAGAGGAGTAAAAGCGTTAAAAATCCATCACAGCCTCCCTGGCAGGATTAAATGAAATATTTAAGAAACTCATGAATAGCCTACAACATTGTGGAATAGGCAACTCTTTTTATCTCATGACAGCTCGAGCAAGTCAATGCTCAGTTTGAATTTCTGAGCTACATAGTTCTCTTTACAAAATGGAATAAAATACAGGAAATATAAATATGATTGATCAGTGTGTTTCAGTTGGATATGGGATCACACCACGGAGCGGCTGGAATGCTAGTCCATCAGTTACAGATCTCTGATAACATTTGCTTTATTGACTGAATCATCTAAATGGTTGTTCCTTCCAGAATAAAGAGAACTATCATTTAATGAACAGATATTAGATGAGATAAGCTTCGTTTTGTTTGGCATTTTCTGTTGACTTCTAGTTGGAACATGCTATTCAGTTACAAGAGATGTGAATGTATCCTTTAAAGCGCTCTATCACTTTCAAGGTCTTTGCTTATTTTGCAAAGACCCTCAGAGGTCACATCCCTTGTTTGATATGGAGCGGCTGGAAGAGAAGCCAATAGATTTACTTACCTTATTTTGATTGTGTTATGCATCTTCAGCGCTTGACTCTTTATCCAACAAGAGACCTTGTAACTGTTGTACTCTGGTACATGTCCAAAAATACTGCATAAATGTCTAGGGAAGAGACTGCTGGATCCTACGTCAAATCATTTCTGTAGTGAACGAGAATTTGTTTAATGATATCTATTGATTGCTTTAGAATTCCAATGAATTTGAAGACCGTCCATGTTAGTATTTCCTTAAAAAAATATTTTTAGGAAATACTGAAAAGTAACTAAAAATAATCGAGTTGGTTCGATGTTTAGTAATTCTCGAAAGATATTAAATGAAAAAATTGGCAATTTACTTTCTATACTGTCGAATTTTTTACGTGTTTTCTATAAAGATTATTCCATTAAATAACCTTTCTTTTTTTTATGTATGGAAACTGAAGTGCAGTTCTGTTTTTCTTTGAAATGTAAATTGTGACGAGACCAATCTCGCCACATTGCATTGGAGAAGCCTGGTTGCTCGCCTGCTGCCTTTGGACTATGGCCCCCTTTTAAAAGACTGAATTTTTCCATGCAGAAAAGCCATATTCATGCTTTTCTGCCGGTTGTTCGGTAGTTTCAATCTACCGAACAACCGTACGAATGACTGGACCACCTGGGAGCTGGAGTGTGCCGGCAATTAACCTCCCTGAAGCTGCGGTTAACCGCAGCTTAATTGATGAACGCTGGGTGGCCGCCGTTCGTATCCCGAACACGAGGTCGCGGCCATTTTAAACCATACGAATGAACAGCGGTGTTCGCCTCTATTTTTATGGAACTAAAATCGGACACAGTTTTGCGCGAACACCGCTGAAGCCGCCGTCCTCCCTTCTCGTTCGGTGAAAGCACACGAATGACCCGGTGTTCGGTATTTTTGTGTGAATATCTTATACCCCAGATAGGAATCCCATGGAGCCCATTCGTATGAAACTGACTGTAAAGACTTTGGCTCCATGGCGATTGAACTGTATTTGTGTAGTCTGAGTGCCATTCACCTAATAATGTGCACTCAGACCTGAGCTATCTGGGGATATGTTACATGTCTGTGGTTTATGTAGTAAATGTTACTTTGTGCATTTTAAAGTGTTATGCTGGTTTTGTGTTCCCACGTGTGTAATGGAGTTTTGCCTTTGTCTTGGGAGATAATTGAGTTACTTCCCAATTATCTCCCAGGGCAGAGGGGAGGAAGCCAGGATGCATTGTGGGAATATACTGTGACTGTGTGTCCTTTTTGTATACTTGTCTGTCCCTTGTCACAGTCTCCCATTTGGTCCCCTAGGGGAGTGTCCACCAGGTGGGAGACCTGCATAAAAGCTGGGCAGGTAGCCCTCATTAAACAGACCACTGCTTGACCCTCAACACGGAGCCTTGTCTCGTCTTTGGGGGGATTTACTGTATGCTGCTAAGGACTGATTGCCAGGAGTGTAAGCCGCTTGGGAGCTTTTCCTGTTCGTCTGGTAGCAGCAATTCGTATGGTTCCTGTTCGTGTATTTGGAGTGCTACCTTATTCCCTTGTATGCCGTTCGGGAGTTTGGAGCATTCACTTGTATGCAGTTCGAGTGTTTGGACCATTCCCTTGTATGCAGTTCGAGTGTTTGGAGCATTCCCTTGTATGCCGTTCGGGAGTTTGGAGCATTCACTTGTATTCAGTTCATGAGTTTTGGTGAATCTACAGTAGCTGTGCCTGTCTCTGAAAGGGGATTATCGTCTAAGCGGTTTTTTCCCCTTTTGTGCAAAACGGTCCGTTACATAAATGTTAATTTGTAAATCCAATATGGGATTTAATAACCAATATGGTTGTTATTTTAAATAAAAAGTCAAGCTTTGTTTTCTGGACTATTATACTACAGATTACATTTGCCCTATAACTTTCTAGGAATCAGACCTGTCTATACCAGTTGCTGGTCATATCACTTCAAATTTAACTCCTTAACATTACAACGCTTGTATGGTGGCTTTTACTTTTGAAGTAAGGAAGGTTATTGAGTTTCCATGTGTCCTACATCTATTTTTATTCTTCTGCAAACTACAAAATAGATCTGACTATAGCCAAATCGAAGATTTCTTTTCCCAAATGGGCAAATTTATGCCTACATTTTTAAATTCGATTCATAATTTGCTACACTTGGTTTGTAAACAAACCCTTATATCATTGATTTTTTAATCAAGTACACTGACACTAGTGTCAGCAGTGATCTGAAGGCTTGCTACAGAATTGGACATCATGGTTGCAATCTCCTTTTTCAAAATATTTATCACATCCATTATGCCCTGTGCCCTGTGGTGTCACTACAGAGGGCAAATAATTCCCCCTCTCCCCCCCCCCCCCACCCTTCCCCCCCTGTACCCTCTGTCCTGCATTGCCATTGCTGTCCTGCTTTGCTATAAGTGGTGACATCTGGCTTTTTCATGTTTGACTGTACCAAGTAAGTAGAACAATTTGACCAAAAAATGTTTTGACAGTTTTAAACAGTGTATTTTCAGGGAGATTTCTTTTTTTTGTTTGTTTATTATTCAAACTTGTTTTTTTGTTTTTTTTCTTCTTTGGACATTTATGGTGGATTGATGATATGTAAGGTATGTATTTGCCACTTTCACTTCTGATGGTTTTGATCAATCGATTAATCAAAGTCCCTGAGGAAAACACAGCTTTAATGTTAATTCTTTATATAATAATGTGCTTATAACGTATAATTTTTGTTTCTTCAGTTGTTAAAAGATCTTGGAGCCTCAGAGTTACCAAAAAATCAAAGGTGGCTCTACCAAGTACTGACATAGGGGTGAAAGAATACAGATTCAATACATTTGTTGCTGTTTTTGTTAAAATAACCTTTGCCTCAATACAAATATTTTGTACCTTCAGCGTGTTGGGTAAAATGATTTAAAAAAAAAAAACATAATAAAATAACATTTACATTTCATGTTTTAACACTATAAAATGTGAAAATGTCCATGGGGGTAATAATTGGGCAAAACACTGTATATTAAATTTTGACTGATTTATACTGGTTGATGAACTTGCGTTTTTAATATTGGCAATAAAGATTATTTACAGAAGTACCAAGTAAAGGCTTTGATTGTCCAGTTGTCTGAAATTACAAATATGATCGATGCACTTTTGAGGCAAAGGATCACAAACTATAAGTTTGTATGTTATTTATTTATATGTTGGTACCCAGCATTTTAAATTGGACAGCGGTTTTTGTGGCATACTTAAATGGTAAGTGATTAGAGAACGTGGATAGGACTCCAGCCGCAATATAACTCCGGGGAAAGTTCTACTTAGCCTTTTTATATTTCCAAGTTTGATAAAACGGAGTACAAATAAACTGGACAAAAATAACTTTTAGACCACTATGTATGATTGACTAGTGAACAGCTTACTGTACATTTCCTGGTTGGATTCTCTGATATTACCGTTACCTCTTGTCTCTATTAGCATTATATAATAGTCATAGAATCATCTTTTCATTAGCCTCGTTCAATTCATTTGTTGATCATTTTATTTGCTTCCTGTTTACTCAGTGTAACTGCAGACTAAATGTTTTAATTAAATCAACATTCTTGGCTGGTGTATGTCTGTGTAAAATAAAGCCACCTCCTATGTTTTGTATGGTTTCTGGGACCAATCTGTATTCATTTTCTAACAGATTAGTTTTCAGTTTGTTTTTGTTTTTAACAGTTTTCTTGTTTTTACATTTTGAGATGTTTATTCTCCAAATCACTGGTTCAAAACCCAGTCCAGGAATTCCAATGGCCCAGGTTTTCATACTTCCCAACATTGGGAGGTATGAGATCGGGAGAGATTGGTGGGCATACCTGCAAAAAGGGGCGCGTCAACCTGCTGTCAAGTACGTCAGGCTCACTGACTTCCTTTCTGGCTGTCCCCCAAGCATTAGACTGGTAGGTCCCCAACCATTAGATGGTCTAATGATGTGTTCCTTCTGTGCTGCTCGTGGACAGTTGGATTTTGTTGGAATCTCCAGAGGAATAGAATCTGATAATGCTTAACCCCTTAAGGACACATGACGTGTGACATGTCATGATTCCCTTTTATTCCAGAAGTTTGGTCCTTAAGGGGTTAAAGGAACATTACAGCATTACGAATACAAAGCTGTGTTCTTAACAATGTAGTACACCTCTACTCTTGCTTCCCCTATTTTTGTATTTTTTTAATTTACTTACGTTACTTTTTGACATCCAGCGTCCTTTCACTGCAATGTTTTAAATTTTTTCCTAAAACATCAATGAGATGAAGTGGTCTCGGTGTCTATAGTGTCCCTTTAAACTGTGGTTGTTATCGAGCAATAATTATTGGGTTGGGAACCACTGCTCTAAATGAATTTCAGGGAAAGAATGCATGTCGTGGGAAGCCTCTAGACTGGACATAACCTCTTCTAATGCTGACTCGTCCATTTAAAAAGCTTATATTACAAACAAACAAAAAAAAGTGTTTGCTAGACCGCTGATTGTAGCAAATGTAATAATGCAGTCTGAATGTATTATCTGTAGTCAGCTATGACAGGAGGATCAAATGCTGATTTACTCCACTACGTCTGGTCAAGTGTGAGTAGTCAAATACAATGTGTCCACAATGCAAATCACATTTCCTCTGTTTGTTTTCTTTTTTTTTTTATGTCTGGATGTAGCCGTTATTCAAACAACCCCGGGGGTTATGTTTGACTGATTTTCTTTCACTCTTTGCAGTTACACTGGAGGTCTGCTCACCATGTTGTGCCCTTAGATTATAAGTCTGTTTGAGAACTCCTTCGGATATTATGTTCTTCATTAACCCGATTAAACCTCTGGATTAGCACATCAGACTAAAGCTTTCATAGCTCCTCCCCCTAATTAAAATGTTGGACAACTCCAACACGCACTAATAGCAACAACATATTACATAAGAATTATTAAAATGGTTCAATTTTTGTATTAATTATTTTGCATTGACATTCTGAACCAGTATTAGTTAAACCTGTATAATTGTATCTTTTTTTTGGACTTGTTGAAGTTCTTTTCTCATCAAAAAACTTATGATATGCCCAAAGGCCTGCATAAATTGGCTCTTTTTCAAATTTAGTTTTATAGGAAGACACCAGAGACATAACATGTCCTTTTATCTCCAAATGAAGCCTTAGTCTATTCGCAGTCAAGTGCATTCTCTTAATATTTAATATCATCTAGCAAAGTGCACTGTGGTACCTGATACATCGCACTACAGAGATGGCGAATCATGGAATCTTAATGATAAACTCTTTCTTGCTTTTAACGCAATCTGCTTTTCAAAGAGAGCTGTTCACATGAGTCTGGGTTTCCAGGGAGGAGAGAGACACAGGTGACAGTTAATAATTATACACTATTTCCAAAGAGCTCAAACGATCTTACATTAAAGGAAGGCTAAGAAGAATTGTGTGTGTGTGTGTGTGTATATATATATATATATATATATATATATATATATATATATATATATATATATAAACTAAATTAACATATAAAACACAAATCCTGTGACTAACACTGTGAATAATAGCATTGATTAGCTGAAAATGAGAGGATAATGGAGAATTTAGTAGCTTCCAGTTAAATTAGACCAAAAATTCAGAAAACATTTTTTCCCAAAATTATTCTTGGAAAAACTCAAAGTATAAGCCTTGCTTTGTCATGGAGAACATCTATGTCTGTAGAATGACACTTTTTTTCTTACAAATGTTGTAAAAGCAACATTCATAATGAACAATCTTCTTGTTTTTTTTGTGTCCCAAGAAATTCACCTGTCCATTGAAATGTACTCAAAGGGACACTCTGTGCACCAAACCTGTGCACCCCACTCCTGCCTGTCACCTCTGACAGACACCCCTTCCCCCTTTTGCCCTGCTACTGCTTATAATAAAAATAGACAAAAAGTACTGCACAGTAAATGTTGGGTCAATATTTTTGGAAGACATTTTTCCTTTGGTTTAAAGGAGCACTCTAAGTATTATACCCACTGTTTATAGTGATTTATGATGGGAAGAGTCTTTGGGTACCATCCCCTATTTTATGTCAAAAATTTTTTGAGAAGTTTAAAGAAAAAAAAGGCACCAAAATTACCCAACACTGGACCTGTCGAGCCATTAACATAACTGTGGAAATTAACCTGAAATTATGAAAGATATTCTCCAAAGTGAGAATTGTCATGTACTCAAAGTGAATTTTGAATGTAAGGCAAGTATTCTCCCAGTCAGCTGTACTTCCAGTTGGGCTATTTTGGTCTAAAATAGTAAATTCAGTTTGAATTCACCATAATTCTCAGATAAGTGAATCCAAAGCTGTCCAAACCTTGATGACAATATAGATTAAGAGCTCTGGGATAATTCTTCCCCAGTATAATCATTGCTGTTCAAGGTTTCATTGCTCCAGACAAATGATAGGTCCGGTGCGCTGGGCGCTAGAAGAACTAGTTTTCATATGACAGTTATTTAGTGTCACCAAACTTAAACATTTACAAAAAAAAAACACAGCTATTTTTTTATTTCTTAAGTTTGCACTAGTAATGCATTACCTGTTTTATAGGAAACCTCCACGCACTTTAACCACTGCAACTGCTTCGCTCAGGAGATCCAACAGAAGGTCCTCGGCTCTCTGTCTTATAGTAGTAGTGGAGTTGAGGAGCAGTTCTGGTGAACCCCAGGTAAGAAGTCAAACCATTTAAAATGATTTGACTCCATATAATGGTGGTTGTCAGGTCACTCTGGGCACCATAACCACTACAGTGATCTGTTCCTTTAACTAAATGCTTCTATAGCATGATGTTGTTATAGACCACTCACCTAGACAGCTGGAAGGCAACCCTCTTCCACCCAAAGCTAGGCAAATATATTCCTAGATTTGTATGTGTGTGCGTGCCAATGTCTGTGATTGTGTGTCTGAGCGGGGAGTCTACCCAATGATTTCGTAGAGAGCATTTTAAATGTCTGAATAGACCTGTGATTACAGTTATTACAAATACACAAAAATAAGTCCTGCACTCAAACTCCCACTACTCCTGGGCGGCAGCAACGACCATAGTACACATCAGCCTCAATACATACAATAACAACCAAAGGAAAAAAGTTACCTGCGCACTATCCCAAATCCCTATGATAAACGGAGGTTATTTAGTAACTCCAACGGCCATTAGAGGATGCCCACCTGCCACGTCAAGGCAAACCTCTTAGGTGGGTCCTACACGGACTATTCACCTTGTTTCCTTGAGTTACTAAATACCCTCCATTTATTTAAATATGCATAGGGATTTGGGAAGTGCGCAGGTTTTTATGGTAACGTTATGAGGCAAACCTCAGCATTGTTTTCATCAAGGAAAACTTTCTAAGGTGCACATTAAAAATGTTGCATAATTATAATAATTGTCTGCTTAACACGTAATTGAGATGCCAGTTACGCATTTACTCTCTGCTCGACTGGGCAAAACGTTCAAAGTTAGAATGGAGATGAAATGTAATTAGAAATCATTTCCTTTCCATTGAAAATTAAATATGTATTTCTGACAAATCCTAAAACTTAAAGGGATTCTATAATGCCAGAAATACAAAGCTGTATTCCTGGCACTATCGCTCCCCGTACGTCCCCCTTCCTTGCGCCTCCTCCCTGGTATATAAATGGTTAAATAAGCATTATTTACTTACCT